TTTTTTTTTTTATAAAATATATTCTCCTTGTCTAAATGTATAATATTATAATCTATACTTATATAATAAGAATTAATATTTATCCAAAATAGTAGGTCAAATTATGGTCAATGTCAGATTTGCATTAAATATTTTCCAAAAAGGGTAAGTTTTTGTCCTTTTCACACTTCTCATTAATTATGTCATTTTCACACTTCTCATTAATTATGTCATTTTCACACATCTAATTAATTCATTAATTACGACATAATTATCATAAATCATTCCATCTGAGCTTTTATCGTTAAAATGTATAGCGATCTGTTATGACATTATCCCATTGATATTTCCATGAAGCGTCCTTATCGCGTTCTATTTTTTGGTAACCACTCTATATCAATAACCGGATATTTGGTTTGTGAAAGAAGAAAAGCAAGTCTCATCCCATCCCAGTTTCTCGCGTCAATCTTTTTTTCACATTTTTTTCCACATGAGAAAGCTCTGAAGCTGGAAACTAGTCACCCTTCAAACTTGTCTAGCACACGTCTTTATTTCAAGGAGCGGATATTTGACCTTTAATTAATCTGAACTGATTGCCTTGACTTTTCAATTTTCAAAAACTCTTTTTTTAAATATTTCGGCTTAAGATTCGGATTTCATTATACAAGGCATGGGATTGTTTGAATGAAAATGAATGAAAAGAACACCAAAAACAGGTAGCCTTCTTCATATAACCAATCCTAAAATATTAGTTTGTTCACCAAAAAGAGACAAATCCTAGAAATCCTAAAATATTAGTTTGTTCACCAATCTTAAAATATTAGTTTGTTCACCAAAAATATTAGTTTGATTTTTAGGATTTGTCTCTTTTGAAAATATTAGTTTGTGATAATGAGGAGTTACCAAATAATCAAACTCATAATGTTGTGTACAAGGAGGTTTTTAATAATATATGATTGTTAGCGAACTTTTTATGATTCAACAATGTTCCTATGTATTTTAATGATTTCAATTTCAATCCTAATGCACGTGAGGTTATATTATTCTTCCAAATTTTACATCCCGTGCATCGCACGGGTTACGTACTAGTATGAATAAATAATAATAAATAAATTTACTACGATTAGGATAGATTTGAAGAATGTGTCAATGAATGCTTGATTGCATTCCTATCATCGAGTCACGACTATTTGTTACTTTGTAATGTTGCATTTTGTCGTTTGATGACTTGTTCTATAAATGTGCAAATGCACATCTCCTATCCAAGTTGTAATTTCTTATTTTTAATTAGCAACTTTTTTTTATTTTTTTTTGTNTTCTTAGCTTTGTTGGATTTATCTTTTGAAAAAGTAAATGTAATTGTTCTTAGCTTTGTTTCTCTTTTGAAAATTTAACGACGTGCATCATACAAATATTAAAGTCGTGTTAATTGTTGATAAATGTCAAAAGTTAAATATTAGTTGTATCTTATCTTTCTTGAAATTCTCAAATTTTAAAATTAAATCACACCTGTAATAAGCATGTAAGAATTCATTGTTGATAAATATAAAAAACGTTAAGCATATAAGAATTGTCGACAAATGTCAAAAAGATCAATTATTAATTGGAGTTCACATCTTTCTTGAAGTTCTCCAAAATGAAAATAAAACCAAACAACCAGCAATATCATAGGATGAAATGAGAATAAGAATCCAAATAATCAAAGTATCATTATTTGGTTTGTCGTTTTTTAACATGTTGTATGAGCAAGGTTGAAGAAAAAATACAATATTTTATCGATCTCATTTAATTCTTTACTTTATCATGCATATATACATATATATATACACATATAAACATATATCTATATTTCTTTTTGAAAAATCATATTTATGACCATAATTAATTGATAAATTTTAAAATTTGCAAGGCTATTATTCATTAACCAGATTTCATGAGACTTGCTTTTGTAATGGACTACTTTTAAATTTTCATGAGAGGATCTACATCGTTGCGTTAATGTGTCGTTTAAACGAGTCCATCTTCCATTTAAACCGATGCACACGTTCGTTCAATGAAAAAAAGTTTTGGGGCCCACTAATTGCGTTAAGAACATTGAACGACAATGAAGAGTTAAAAATAGAAAATAAATTTTCAATTCCTCCACAAACATTAAAAAGTGGTGGAACTATGTAATTATATATTATTTATGATGGGCCCCTCATTTTGTATTTAAATGAATGAACAAGTGTGGATGTGTGTTTAAATGGAGAGATGTTTAATGAAAAGATGACGTGGATATGATGTGGATAAAATAGAGTGTAGATTGTGATTAAATGAATGGATAGGAATGTGAATGCCCTAACAAACTATGCAAATGTGGCGTGTCACCCAACGGTGATATATTGGACGTGACATGTCCGACAATATACATGGAATTCCAGCGAAAAATTGTGTTTATTTGGATGATTATTTTTAAAACATATGGGAATACTATTTGATCATTGCATTCCAAATGGGACTATTTTGAAACAACCATTTAGTTTTGAAGCTTCTATTAAGTTTTCCCATTTGATTTGAAACGTAGATTTTAAAAAATGAAATATTAAAATGATTATTTATTGCGTTTTATGTTTTAGTAACAAATTATTTTGACTGAACATTAACTGTATATAAGTATATTGCCCCTATATATAATTCTTGAATATGTTAAGTTTAAGTGGGAGGTCCGCATGCTTCAAGATCTTATGTGGAGCATTTCAAGCTTCGTAAGTAGGTTCAGATAGATATTAAATTTATACAAAAACCATCTAGTTTATAAACTATATTATATTTATTTTAAAATTGCCATAATCGGTTTTATCTTTCATTTTCTTAATTACCATATACTACTTTTCTTTTCCTTATTTAATTCATATGTTAAATACGACCTTTAAATTAATAATAATCATTATTGCATATTTTGTTATAAGTTTTATTATTAATTCATTTACATATTTATTATTATAAAATATTAACTTAATAATTTTATATTACTTTACATTTAATTATTATTTTTATATTTAATAAAACAAAATAGATAAATAAAATAAATAAAAAATTATGATCATTTCAAATTAAAAATTAAATTAGATATCACCTAATTAAAAAATGGCATTAGTAGTCTCGTTTTGGTGTGGCAAATGCATGGAGTACCATAAGCATAGTATTTGAAATTTGAACATAAAGACCATGTAAACGATTCTTCACTCATTAGAATATTATAATTACATTATATTTTATGATTTTATATATAAAAAAAAAAAATTAGACATGATCACATTAATTATTCAACATTCTTTAGAATCACATTAATTATCAATCTTTGTTAAAATATTTTTTTTCATTAAACATATACTTTATATATATTTTTAACCCGTACTTTTATGTTGATCGACAATTTTTAATTTGACATTTATGTTGTATACCTAAAATAAAGAAACAATTATATGATCATTTCAAATTAAAAATTAAATTAGATATCACCTAATTAAAAAATAATGAAGTTACTATATACCAATCCAAAAAAATATAATGTTTCAGGAAAAAATATATATAAAACCATGGAGACCACCCACCATAGGAAAAAACGAACAAAAAAAAAAAGAAATTGAAAAAATGGGTAAATTTACGAGGTAATTGGTTGGCCTTGGTCATGTGTAGCTTTTATGTATTATAAATAGGTAGCTCAACTCTCTATGTCTCTTGCAATAACTCCTGAAACAAAATTAATAGAAAAACAAAGGATGAGGGCTAGGGCATTAATAATGGTAGTTCTAATGATTTCACATGTCATGGGCAAAACGCCGGCTGAACGTGAAGTAGGAAAGGTGTTTCATTCCTGCTTCAAATACTACAATGCAGGGGGACCGATACCCCCCAGTGCTGACTGCTGTAATTATGTTTGTGATGTAGTCCGTGACTTTGGTGGCAGTGGCAGTAATTATAAATATGCTAACTATCTGCTGTGCAGCCCCTTAATAACAGACTTTCAAGATCGTCTTAACCTTGTCTTTCAAAGAAACTTGGATCTGCCCAAAACTTGTTGCCACATTCACAATAATGCCATTGTCACGTATCTCTTCACATGCAAAGGTGATCATCACCATTTTTGCTAACCAACCATATATATATATATATATATATATATATATTGTGATTTATTCTCTTTATTTATATGTAGGATGTACAATATATATAGATACATATGTTGATGGGTTGGTAGTTATATATACGCGATTTCTTTTCTTTTTTTTTTCATGAGTTTTTCTTGTCAGATTTTACCTTAATTTCATAATAATAGAAAAGAAAAAAAAAATTGGTCAAATGATCCATGTGTAAAATATTGGTGTTGTTTCTCAATGCAAGGTCATGATCTCCATCCTCCACCCCGCCCGATTGCATGATGAAGAGTTTGGATCGAGTTTCTACTTATTTAGAAAATTACTAATGGAAGAATACATATATAATATATATGCTGAGCTGACGATAGTTCAGTTATAAATAAGAAGAATGTCTATCTAATAGACTTGTTATCCTGTAATATTAATGCACTTTTCTTACTATATACACAGTTCCTGTAATAAGCATTTCGCTATTATAATAAACAAACTTTTTATAATACTTGCAGCTGAGTTCTTGTACCTCACTCATCCATGACTGCATATATGTTATGCATGTTAAGGTTCAGTTAGCAAAGTGTACATGCTGATCATATTTATGGTCAAAAACTTTCCCTTCACTAATCCTTCAGGTTCAGTTAGCCAAGTGTTCTGATATTTATGTTAATTAAAAACGTTACTTAAATCAACAAAAGATTGTGAAAGTTTTACTTTTTCATAATTGCGTTAATGGTCTTTTTCATTTGTCTGGGAAAAGTATTTGCTCTGGTCTGTGAAATTGGTGAAACATTCTTGCCACATTAAACTGAATGCTAATTCTACTTTGATTTCAACAAACAACTTGTCACGTAGCAGCAATATTTGCAGCGGAACAAATTGTAATTATAGTCCTATATGTTCCAGTTATTCCCAAATTAAATTAGGTTTTGTTTGGTAATCAACGGTTAGCTGTTTTGATTAGCGGATCGTTTTAGCTGTTTTGGCCAGCTGGTTGTGTTAGCAGTTTGCAAAAGAGTGTTTGGTAAAATCAACTATTTTAATTAGCTGTTAACATGTAAAATTACTTATATGGACATCTATTCTTTAATATACTTATTTATTTAAAATTATGATTATTTAGAAATAACTATTACTTATATTTAAAATATTGTAAAATGACTTAAAATAACATAACACAAAGAGGAAATAACAATATATAATTGTGAAGTGAAAAATGTGAAGAAGATTCTAATTTGACACGATAACAAATATTTAAATAAATAAAATAAATGAAATAAAAAAAATAAAAATGTAAAAATTCGCATATCAATTATCAACCTTTAATCTTACTATTCCTCTATATATTTGCACATAATTCATCACTCGATCATTCTTTTTTCTTTTTCTTTTTTTACAAAGCACCCAATTCACTTAATTTCAAATGTTAATGGTGTATTTAAAAAATCTGAGTTCATTATAATTTCGCTACGATTTTTAACCCAAAATGTTAATGTAATAAAATCTATTAATATATAAAGAGGGAATGATAGTTTTTTTGAAAAAATCATGTGGAAAATCAGCAAAAAAAAAGATTTCAATTCCCGCCTAAAATTTAACACAATTTTTGGCAAAAACTATGAAAATATCCCGCCCATTCGAAAATTTTGGAAGTCTTCTTATTGATTTTCAGCGCCTATAAATTCGCGTAAGTATGGGATGAAATCGTTATTATGGGATGATGATGATATTATTCATTTATCATTTAAGATTTGGTCAGATTTTTAGGCAACTTATTTGTAGATATCCTATCCTAATCTTAATAAAAAATATACAGCAAAACATAATGAAATCCTACCTCTATAAATACATTGGTTTATTACCTTCTCCAAAGGTGCATAGAAAAAAAATACACACAGAAATTTCGAGATACACAAAAAAAAAAAAAAATGGCACGATTCTTTGGCACACTCGCGGACGTCAACAGGGCCACACAACCGTTTTTGACATTAAGAGTAGTAAGCATTCTTGAATCGAATTTCGAGCTGCAGTCCAATAACAATATTCAAATCCTGTTTCATGATGAACATGTAAGCATTTCAATTGTTTTATGTAACATACATATTCATATAAATTATACATATTGATATAAATTACTTTAGTTAATTGTATAAATTTTTATTATAGGGTTCACGCATTAATGCCATCATCCGTTCTCCAAGCGTTGGATTATATCGAGATGTTTTCAAATTAGGCAAAGTTTATGCCATCCACAACTACAATGTTGAATTCAATAATCAGAGGATCAATACAACCGGCAACAGATGGATGCTTGTGCTTAATTCAAGGACAAAAATTTATTCACGTGCGATGGAAACTTTCCATCAACATTAGCGAGGGTTCCGAAGTTGTGAGGATTATTGCATGGATTTCTTAGAAATAATGAAATTGTTATGTTAAAATTCCAATTCGAGTTGTTTAATAATTTTATTCTATGGCATTGCTAGGATTTTGATAATAAAATTATGAGTATTATGTTTTCCTTTATTATTCAATTATATTGATTATTGTATTTTAAAATGAGCTCTATAAATATCAATTAATTGTTGGTATAATAAAAAATAAATTAAAACTTAAATGTAGATTTTTATTACCATTTTTTCGACAATTTATAATAGATTCAATATATCGTTTTTTTTTTCAAATCTTTTGATCTTTTGATAGATTAATAAAAAATGTCATAATAGATTAATTAATTAATTAATTAATATAATTTAGACATTTATTAAAATAGTGTAATTTGAAATACAAATTTCGTTAAATATTCATATTGTTTAAAATAACCACATTTTTTCTATTAATAATTAATAATTTAGATATCTATCAAAAGAGTTTAATATTGAGATAAATATATTCATATATTTTCTATAACATCAATCCTAATCAATGTTAATAGATAAATATGTTAATCTATTTTCTAGGACTTATCTAATTCTAATCAATATTTATCAGATTTGGTTAGATTTTTTTGTCAATTATTTGTAGATATCTTAATAAACTAATTCCATAATTATTGCACACTTGACTCACACGCGTTTTTGTCAACTTATAAAATCGATTTTGATAATCTCTTAAAGTTTTTTTATCTAATTGTACAATCCGATTTTTTTTATCACTTACAGATTTTGTTAGATTTTTTTGTCAATTATTTGTAGATATCTTAAATAATTAATTCCATAATTATTGCAACCGTGACTCACACGCATTTTATAAACTTATAATATCGACTTTGTTAATCTCTTATAGTTTTTGTAGATTCAAAACGTATTAATTAATATAAACTAAAACTCGATTTAGTTTATCAAATAGTTTTATAAACTAAATTTTACAAAATAAACGTATTTCTTTATCTACTTAACATAATAAAATCACGTAAGATTTATGAGTGAATATTCAACAATAATTGCAATAATCTAATTAACATGGTAAATAATATCTAAATATTTGTATTATTAACAGTATCCTAATAAAATACTACTACTTGATAATATCAAAACAAATAATAAATTTAGATAACTAAATCTCAAAAAATATTTTCATTTATCTACTTAACAAATTTAATTCACGTAACTATCACTATAAAAAGACCAATGCATTATGTTATTTTGTATTCAACACACACAAAGCACGTCCTACAGAACACATCTTTTCGTTTTTTAGTTAGTATTATTAAGAAAATGACTCAAACATGGGGTTTGATCAAGGATATCAAGAGGTCCAATAGGCCATTCCTCAAGCTTCGTATTATTCGCATGTTTCAAAGAACTTCCGAGAATTTCTCTAACAAGAAAGTGCTTGAGTTAATTTTCCATGACAATGAGGTTCGTCACAATGTTCTATTTTTACTAATTTTCGTGATTATTTTAATAACAATATATTATTGTTATTATTTTCGTTTTTTTAGGGTGATAGGATAACCGGTCTCATAAGGCCCGTTCATATATCTCATTTCATTGACAAGCTTAAGGATGGAGAAGCTTATGCCTTCAATCATTATCAAGTGGAGAGTAACATAGGCATTTACAAATCAACTATTGGCAAATTTCGCATCATTCTTCATAGGGGAACCGAGTTCTTTCAACTCAAGACCTCATTTCCACTCTATCGATTCTCTTTTAGAGAATTTCTCACTTTGCGTGATATAGACAACGTGGACGAAGCAATTTTGTTTGGTAAGTCTTATAAAAAATTTTATATTCCTAAGAATCTACTTATTTATTATGTTTAAATTTTTTAGTTATGAAATGATGCATATTAATAAATACTCATAAAATTTATCTTCTGTAGATGTTATTGGCTTGGTGGTGGAGACCCATCCAATTCAAATAAAAAATGTGAAGAGTGGCCCGACCCAAATGATTAATTTTAGTCTTATGGATTTGGGGTTAGTTGTTTCGATTTATTTTGTTCAAAGTTGCACTCGATTTTTATAGCTTTTTATTAAATTTTTATTAAATTTATTATATTTTATTATTTTTAGTGGACTTACTATGACATGTACCGTTTGGGGAGCGTATGTGGATCAATTTATTGCTTTCGAGAATTACTATGTGGAAGCCAATCAACCATTTGTCTTGGTCATACAAATGTGTCGTGCAAAGCCTTGGAATGGTAATTTATTTTTAATTTTTTTTAATCGAAAATAAACATGTCACTTATGAATAGATAATTTAAAATTATGAGTATTGCTTAACAATTACTTTTTTCTTCATTAGGTGAAGTTCAAATAACAACTTCAAAGGATGTCACACACTTGATTGGTGTTCACGATATCCCCGAAGTTCAAGACTTTTTGGAAAAGTAAATAATTTTTTGATTTATTTGTTAGCATTGTTATAGATATATTTAAAGATTATATTTTAAATAAATATCTTTGTTTATAGGATGTCTTCTAGCGAAATCAAAGGTGTGAAGTTTAGATCGAATAGCTCTTTAGTTGTCAAGAGTGAAGTTCAAGGACTTGAGGATGGCGATGTCATCGTTAGCTCTGTTGATGCTATCAATGAGGCTGAAGAGGTAGTATAATATAAATATTTCGATTTTGTACTTATACCTCCGGTTTTGTATAATAACATTCCGAATTTCTTTATGCTTACAAATTTAATGTTTTTATTTAAAGGATATGGATACTTGGGTGTGTGCCTCAATCGACTCAATTATTGATAATTGGTGGTACCTTGCTTGCAAAAGATGCAATAGCAAGATGGATATTGATTACGGTGATATGCAGTGCACCAAGTGCAGTAACACACGTGGCATTGCACGGTTGGAACAACATTATTTATGTTTGTCTTTTCGCAAATTATTATATATAGTTTACGTTTTTTTTTTTAAAGGTACAAGATTCAATTTGGGGTCGCTGATTGTACTGCAAGTGCTGTCTTCATGTGCTGGGATAGAGAGTGTGAAAGGATGATTGGAAAGTCTTGTGAGCTTCTAAAACGTGANTTATATATATATATATATATATATATATATATATATATATATGCTTTAATTCGAAATTTAATTTTTATTTATAATTCTTATAATTATTATATTATTACTATTTTTTTGTAGAATAAAAGTGCTTTTGAGCTGCCGGATGATCTAGAGGACTTGGTTGGGAGAACCTTTCTTTTCAAGGTCCGTATCAAAGCAAATAATAATGAAAAAAAGGGCTATTCATCTACTTTCTCCGTTTTGATGGTTATTCTTGATCCAAATTTGGTCTCCAAGTACAATTATTGGGTTGTAGAGATTGATATAAGTTTGTTAAATTAGATTTAACAATTTAATTATGTTCCTTTCGTATACAATACATGATTTTAAAAATAATTATTATGCTTCTTTTTTATAGAACTCGGATTTTATGACCCTTTTACAAAGGGAGGAAGCTACTAAGGTTAGTATATATACTTATAATTAAATATTAAATACATTTACTTATAAGTTAAGTTTAGGGTTTCTTTCAAGTTTATACTTGACTTTATTTTGAATAGGACGATGATGAAGAGGAAGTTATTTCACCGCTTAAGACTGTTCGAGCTATTGAGCATGTTAGTGACACATCCAACGCAAAACGCAATTTGTTGGATGAGTTTGCTATTGACCCCGAGGTTGGAGAAGCTGAATCCGTGACGAGCAAGAAGGGCAAGGCGAAAGTTGATGACTATGGGAACTTACTCCCCAATGGTGAAGGAAATAATAATTAGATGTTTAGTATTGATTTAGAAAACAATTTTATTATGGTTTTTTTTTTTTGCTTGGATTGTTTTGTTTTTCGGTTGTTTGGTTGGTGTTTGTAGTATTTTTGGGCATGTGGTAACCGAGCTACCCGACTCGGGTCGTTCTCAAAGGAAGGCTGTTCGGAGCTTCGTTCACTACCTAGTTGTCAAAGTCACATAACCGAAAATAGGGTCCTAAACATTCTACTCGCTTGAAGGGATTGGATTTGCATGAAATTAAACTAAGAATCTAGAGCAAATGATGAAAGATGCAAATATGAAGAGAAAAATCGAAACTTTGGTCTACCGGAATCTCCATGACTAAAGAAAAAGAAAAATAAACAAGAGAAAACATACGAGCATAGTGATCCTAGGTCATCTAATACGAGCCTTCAACACTAGATCATCACGCTTTTAGCAAAGTCGAGATCTCTACACAAGATAAGCACATATAGATTCCTAACACACGTAAGCAAGTAATAAAAATAAAGAAAAACCAAGAAACGAGCATAAACACACAATTCGAAAGACAAAGTCGAAGTAGTAAGGCCTAAGCAAGGTACCTACTCTCCCATAGCATGCTCGGACGAAAATAGTGAATAAAGCTCGAAACTTGAATGAAAATAAACTTGCCGGAATTTCGCCGGAAAAATAGTCATGAACCTCCCAACCAAAGCATAAAAAAGGAAGAAAAAGAAAAGAGGAGAGAGAAGAGAGAAAATGGAGAGGATTTCGCAACTTAAAAGTTGGGAAATGAGGGTTGTTGTCCAAAATTACAAAGCACAATGTCTTTATATAGCTACACCAAAAACACACACTAAAAACACACACATTTAGTAAAAAATGACACAAACACTCTCGAGCTCGCCAAAATTTCCGCCAGGTCGCGAGTTGGCACGGTACTGGGCGCTGGACTCGCGCGGTCGCGGGCTGGTCCGCTGGGCGCGGGCGCTGGCAGGGCGCGGGGC